ATCGTGGCAGCAGCATCTATGGCTTCGTATGAGATGTATGATATGTGTGTATGTGTTGCATTAACCTGCAACCAACTGTGCCGGTGGTTGGCCCTCGTTGTCGGACATGGCTGACGTGGTCGGACAAAAGCGTGCGAAAAGCAGGAATGACTGGTTACAGGCAGGGATGGAGAGTCCATGCTTTTCACGACACGAAAAGCAAGAAGTACATTCGGATTACGGATAATTGTAGCCAATCAAACTGATTTTGCAAAAGCAGGAATGGCGAAAAGCAGGAACAATTCGTTCGCAGACCAGGCTCTCAAGGCGAATTACAACGTTTTTTCAATTTGTCGACGGCAAAACGTGCATATAACGTCAAAAATCACGTTTTACTATGCCACCAGGTCAGAAGAACACAGGCAATTGGCGTGTAAGATCGCCACGACAACAGCAGCTATATCGGTGCAACCTCATAGGTTCATCCTCAATATCATTAGATATGACCTTGGAATGAGTTTTGCGAGCTTGTAGTGTCTCGAAGTGTCTTAAACCAAGGCGAGATTGTGCCATATTTTAGTATGATTGGTAAATTGTCAGGAACACTGATGGAGAACTTGGTACTGTATGACTGACTGTGTCTATTGGTCATAGATATTGTGATATTACATCAAGTCAGAGATGTTGTCATTGATCAGTACCTCGATCTGGTACCAAGTGATCAGTTGTATTGTAAGTACAAAGGGTTATTTCCAATATACTTGTGTTGCTGCTCATGTAGTTTTCTACTGCTCCCAAGCTCTACTGACGTCGAAATGACAAAGAAATGACAATTTTTTTACCAATAAAAACGCAGTCTTCATCAGTTGAAAAAGCACAATGCAATAAAATTTCCAGCAAAACTCAACGTCGAAATAATATTACATCATACAAATATCAAGATATTACACAAGCACCACGGGGGAAGGATTTCGTCGTTCCCTGTAAGGCCCTTGTGGCGCTCCGGTCACTGGGGATCTGAAATGAATGATCTATTTTAACGATAAATAACCTGCAAGAGCATGGCGTCATATCAACCCCAATGTATGAGGTTGATTGTTTTTGTAATCATAACCTTGCAGAATATATATTCAGAGCTCACAATTTTTATTTGATTTTGTCGAAATTCCAACGTTTGTTATCCCTGATTGGACAAAACTATCATGCCCTCAGACCAATCACAGATAGGTGTAGCGGTCTTATTCAGCGTCGTTCCCTCTACACAAGTCAGTTCCACCCACCTGGGGTGCATTTCAGCTCCAAAGCTCATTGGAGCCCGGCAATTCAAACGTAGTGCCGGCTGCTTTATTTATATACTCATGAACGGTGGAATCGAGTAACGATATGCCAAAAGCCAACATTGCTTCTGTAGGAAATTGGAAAGACATATGCTACAAAATATTTCTTCAAATGAATATTGCAAATAGTTTGATTATTCTTAATTTTAATAATATTATATTCAATAATAGTTTTTGTATTCAATTAAAATCTTTTGAAAAAGAATTATTAAATTCTATATTTCATATATATTTAAGATATCAAGCAACCTGAGGTATGACTCATGCAACTGCTGTTGAACCGTAGTTTCACATCTTCATCCAGGTGTATTACAGTGCTGTTGACAACATTAGGGCCACAACAAATTGACGTACGAAGCCGCAGTACAAAAGAGTGTTGTGGTCGCTGTAAGAAAGTTTGAGAAGTGTTCTGCGGCACACAATTGAAGTACATCCAAGTTTGAAGCTTGTGATATGCTCTCTGAACTGCTAGTGTACTGTCCACTTTGCAAGCACCGCACGCTCAAGTGCCCTGCCCCACCATATCCACCGCGCCATGAACAATACGATGTGCTGCAACATGAGGCTAATTGAGAAGCACCGACGTTAACAAATCGGGCAATTCACATCTTGGAAAACAAACTTGGTGCTTTTTGGACATCATTGATGGAAATTTTACCCGAGCTTCTCTATTCTGTTTCATGAAGGAACCTGGTCGTGAAGCATGGTTGATGCGTCAATATGATTTTGTACGTTATGAATATGTAGATTAAGGTGAATCATTAATCATGTTGTTCGGTGTCGTGTTTGGCGGCGACGAGACAACAGTTGATATTGTGTGCACATTCGAACAGCGATGATCCCATCTCTCCATACTTTTCCTCTTCGTTTTTTGTGGCATCATCGACCTGTGGTATGTTATCAGGGCCAACTGCCTTTGACGCTGGCGTCTTGTCTTGAGCATCAACAGTGCGTCATTTGCATCATGACGGGAATTGAGAAGAGGATAGTGCAAAACCAACACAAGGTCCACTAGGAACAAGAAATCGTACCGAATGCCGTGAAACAGTACCGAAAACGGATCTTTAGAGCACCGAATAAACGTACTATGCAATTCTGAACCTGGACTTCATCAGGCGGGGCTTGTAGCGACAGGCCGTGGTGACTGGGTCACGCAGTTTGAGGACTTCCGCAAGGAGCACAATTCCGTGCTTATTGAAACGAAAGTAGAAATCACAGATTTTGTTTTAAGGTGATGGGCAGGAATTGTAATTGCTCTGGTACTCCACGAGCCCAGCTATCACGAAGGACGTAGTGTGTACCCTCTATGGGTAAGTCTGTAAAATCACCTGTGCCAGAACAACATCAAAGTCCTTCTCTACTTTCTAGAAAAAAACACTTGGGAAATCACGTTTGCAAACCACACTAATGTATAAAGCAGTATTATAGTTTAACAGGCATACGGATTTGTTGCGCCAATTTTCCCGCTCGACAAATGTCAAATTGACTGCACGAGGTATACGAACGCCGAGCGCAAGAGTTTGATCGAAGGCTTCGACCCCGCTCTAAAACCTGGAAAAGATGTGCTGAAGTTAACATAATCGACTGGACGAATTGGCGTAATCGGATCACACATCGTGACTCGATATAGACCAAACAATGCAAAGAAAGAAGCACACTCTTGGTAGTCAAGGACTCATTGAGTCTCTTGCATTTGCTTCCAAGGTACTTGCCTTCATGAATAATGTCAGGGACGGTGAGCACTTCTTACCCAATGGTCATATCGTCACGTATATCAAGATGTATCACAAGAACTCAAGGAATGGCTCGACGAATACTTCGCAACGACAAACACGATGACTGGGCGTATCATCACCTCTTAAAGTTATGCCAGAGCTACTCCGCTCGCTGCCGCTTCTCTCAGCAAGTAATAAATTCAACCAAGATTTTCCAGTCGATGATACAAGAAACCAATACACCGTTCGCTACGGCCTTCTGGTCCAACTTTCTCCACACTGCGCCATGTGATGTCATCAACATTGACAAGACAGCTGTCTATTACGACATAGTATGTATTTATCAAGACCATTGTCAAGGTCGACAGCTCATTCAAGGCTGGCAAGAGCGAGAAGAAGACTGACCAGTTGACCGCAGAAAACGCCTGTGCGATCGATTGGTGACAAGCACTATTCGCTTCGCTCTAAAGGACCAATTTAATGAATCCATCGACAAAACGATACCAACTTTTCCGTCTGGGTATACTTACGTCGTGCAAGAATTGTCTGGATGGGCACACAGGTGTGGGAGTTCTACCTTATATGGATATTGAAGTCCGAGATCGAGGGACAACCGTTATTGTTGCATACAAATATGTTGTTTAATTGATTTTCAGGAATACATCCATAAAAAATTTAAATTGTTGTTTAGCAAATAATCTTTCTTTATACTAGTATAATTTTTTTGGTCTTCTATGTGTTGTATATTTAAAAAAAAACTATATTCAATTTTTTTTCTAGCTATTGCGTTTTTCATTTGGGCTTTTTCGCGTCCATTCAGGCACTGCTGAGACAGAGTTGTCACTCACGAATGACTTTTCATCGAACCAGCACTTTCTGTTTTCAATCGTCTTGATATGGAGAAGCTCGAAAAAAGTTCCTCATCTTTCAGTCCGTCTAGCGCCTTGTCCTCAAGCATTGTGGTGACAATATTTCGATTGCCTCACCAGAAAAAGTATGCATTGAGACGCACTGGCACGCTCATGACGAATGTCACCTGCCCTGCATTGCATTTGACCGAACCTGTAACAGCCGTACAATACTTGTTTTAACACATTCATATTGCTTGTGACCAAAAGTGTTAAAATGCCATCAGTAACGTGGAAAAAAGAGTTTATCGATTGTCAACAGGATATTGGAACAGAGGGAGTATACAGTACATATTGGCTGCATATTTCATTGTTGGGCTTCATGGCCTTGGCTTTCACATATGGAGGGTTAGCGGGAGACGCAACTGGAGACAGCGACGCAGCGACGCAAACGACTCCCAAACGCAAGTGATGTACCGGCACTGCACCAGCAAGTGTGTGTACGACTCCACCGACTCGGTGCATAGGAGACAAGTGCGCTCCGCTGGGAACAAGAAATGGAGGCTCTTTGAACCGCCACCGCGCGTAGCACCACTCGAAAAACGAAGTCACCATACCGTGGAAGCACATTTTTGGGCAGAAGAAGGGATACAAATGTCGCCGCATGGGCGTCATCGGCGTAGTAGTCATCTGGGGCGCCAAGATGTCGGGTCGGCAAGTGCTGCCAAATGAATGGCCGTCGGGGGCGGTATTTCTCAAGAGATAAAGTTGCCTTCACAAGAGGAACTACCTCACAACCGAGACGGACGAGCCATGATCAAGCTGTAGTGGGATGCGGGGAAAGTGGGGCTTGCGGTACGAAGCGTGCAAGGGGCAGACCACTGCTTCGAGCTGGCGAATCCAGCGGATAGGAACGGCTTGGGGTAGCAGTTCCTCGAGCCGCCTTGTAACTTCCGCCGGGGAGCTACCGAGGGCGACCATGTCTTGGACTTGGGTATACCCAGCAAATGCCAGGGCAGTCGCGTGCCCGCCGCCTGCCGTCTTGCTGATGTGTCGGATCGTGCCCGCATCTACGAGGTACGAGTTGTGCCAAATGGGGGCGCTGAATCGATCCGTGGCTCCGTCGTCGGCTCGTGATACAACGACACCACCATTTTGTACCACATCTGCAGCGAAACTTGCCACCATACCGGTATGTCATCGGACAGGAGCAGTGTTTTGATCACTGTATGCGACGGGTGGGCTTGCAGTAGGTCTCCAAACGACTACCCCACGACTGGTAGGCAGCCGTTAAAAGCGCTGTGCTGGCCGCGGTCCACGGAGGTGGCTCAAGAGGGTTGGCGAGCCATATCTTGAGAATGCGCACCAACGTCGAACGGAGGGGCGAGGTCCAGAGGGCGTACGCGTGCGAGAGGCCGACACCACCGTGACGTTTGGCCATGAAGACGAGATCTTGGCTAAAGTGGCGCAGATGCCTCGTTCACGTCCGCGAGATCGGCTCATCGTGAACTGAAGCTTGAGACGATCGATGAGGGCCGCTTGCTGCTTGTCGGGCGGGAGCCAAATCAACTGGTACCTGAGCACCGGCAGACATACTGCCTGAAGAATGACAACTTTGCCGACTAGAGACCGCGATTGGTGCGACCAGAGCTCGAGCCAATCTATGAATTTGGCGAGCGCGTGTTCGAAGCGCGACGTCGCTTGCACCCCCGGCGCCACTAGGATACCTAGCGCATTCGCGGGCGCTTCTGGCTTGACTGGACGTCCTGGAGGCGTCCGCTCCAGAGATCCGTACGTGAGCAGTTTTGTATTGTTGCGGTTGAGCTTGAACCCAGAAAATGCGCAGAACGATTCGATGAGCTCGAGTTGCGTGATGAACGCTGCGGGATCTCAGGCGATGAGCTGCGTATCATCCGCAAAGCAGCTGACGACGTGTGCGATATTGCCAAGTGTGAGCCCCAGTTGCGGTTGTGAGCAAAGCAGATGGCACATGGGCTCGAGCGCGAGCACGAACAACAGCGGCGACAGTGAGTCTCCTTGCAGCACCCCGTGGACAATCTTGAACGGTTGCCACAGGCGTCCGTTGATTAGCAAGCGTGATGCGCGGCCCGCGTAGAGGAACTTGGTCACACGTAGAAACTCTTGAGGCATCCCCATGGCCTTCAACACAGCTTGGAAATATCGGTGGTCAACGAGGTCGAACGCCTTCTCAAAATCGAGTAGTGCCACGACTCTTGCCGGCGCGTGTCGGCGCATGTATTCCATATTGACTTTGAGGCGATGTTTGTCAAGATCGTGCGGCTATTAATGAAGCCCGTTTGATCATTGTTGACGAAAAAGTCGGCGCAGCTTTGAAATCCGTTGGCCAGCACTTTGGTGAGCACCTTGATATCCGTGTTGATGAGGCTGATCGGTCGGTAGTTGCCCGGGACATCACGATCTCCCTCCTTGTGTAAGAGGATGGTCGTGCATCGGCACCGTGAGGTGCGTTTTTGTACAGCGCAAGTTCTCAGCAAGGAACTTGTGCATTCGTTCTTTGCCTTGAACTTGCTACCTGCCGCATATTACTGCTTGAGCTCTGCTTTGATATGCTGCATGTACATGACGAGGACCTCGGACGGGTGGTGCTGAAGATCGTAGACCGCTTGTGCCAGCTGCAGCTTGAGCCCCTCGAGTTGCGCTTGGTCGGTAGCTACACGTGTCTCGTGCAGGAGCTTCAATGTGCGCCGGAGCGAGAAGATCATGTCGTCATACAAACGGCCGACGTCTTTATCAAGGGATGCCTCCTCGAGAAAGTTGTCGAGATGCTCGTTGACGGCGGTGACTATCTCAGGAAGCTCAAGGAGCCACGGAGGAGTGCGCCATGGGCCCTTGCCCACCGTTAACATGTCTTCTAAGAGGACAACGACTGCCGAGTGGTCCGATCGCGTCGTGTCATGAACGTGCCGAGCGTTGATGCACGGCGCTGCGGTAAAGTGCGACGAAACGAAGTAGTCCAGGCCTGTCGTGCCAGTCGGGCTGGTGAAGGAACGATGAGCTGGGTAAACGTGTCGATAGATATCACGAAGTCTAAGGCAGTCAGCCAGAGACCGAGCTCATGCCTGCATCATCGTCTAGCGTGACGTTGAAGTCGCCGCCAACGAGATGAAGATCGTCGCCGTTAAAGTCGCGTGGCAATGCGTCAAAGAACGCCGGCCGCTCTGACGCTTCGGCTGGAGCCTAACAGTCCACGAGACCATCGAGGGGTTTTTTCAACGAAATTCATGTTTTGCCCAACGTTGGGTGATGAAATTGCACATACAGACGTGGATTTTTATG